ACCCCGTCAGACCAGCATACCCTGTCATACCCCGTCAGACCAGCATACCCCGTCAGACCAGCATACCCCGTCAGACCAGCATACCCTGTCATACCCCGTCAGACCAGCATACCCCGTCAGACCAGCATACCCCGTCAGACCAGCATACCCCGTCAGACCAGCATACCCATAGTCATTAACCATGCAGAAGACGTCAGAATTGCATTTAACTGTTTAGTTTTTTATGAAAAATAAACTTTAAACTATCTTGACGGGCGTGCATCCCTTTGGTCAGGTACGGAAAAAAACTATCTAATGTGAGATTGCATACGCTTAAAAAAAAACACCAAAAAGTAAGTAAATCAGTATTTTTTTGTACATTTTTTGTATTTAGAGCAGCTTTTGGAGAGACTAAAGTATGTTTACTAATTGTGGTTACTGAGGTTAAGCTTGTTAAACTAACCAGGTAATATCACCTTATTATCTCCTTTAAATGATAGAAGCAAAGATGTTCTGCTTAGTTAATCTGCTGATATATTTCTGTTACTCTGCATGTTTCTGGTTTTTAGTGAAAGCAGCTTTAGTGGAAATCTGGAGCTTTTCAGAGAACAGAAGAGGATCAGTTTAGGTTGATTGTTTCTAACTGAGCTAAAGAAACAAACATGCTGATTTTAGCTACATGAACCTGCTTGTTTCACTTTAGTAAAAACTCCTTTCAATAATTTTTGACTCTGCTTATATAAACCCACATTTTCAATGATTGCGATTCTGATTCTTCAACATGTCAGCTTGTTCATGTAATACATGACTAACAAGCAACAACGCAGCAGATCTACCATGTTGTCCTAACGAGAGCTGCTCCTTTCTAGAGATGTTCGTTTCCCAAATAATCTGACCTCCAGCTGTTAAACAGCATAAAAGATGGATGTGAGGAAGTTACCTTGGTTACTTGGCTGACTGCGTTGGCCGCCAGAGCAGCGCTGGCAATATCCTCCAGTTTACTCCGACTGATGGCAGAGATGAAGTTCAGGTAGTACGACTCATACAGCTGGTTCCTCAGATCCTAGAAAAACACAGAGGCAGTTATAGTCTAATTCCTTCAGATGTGGGAATAAAAACATGCTGATGTGGGAATAATTGTGTTTGTCAGGTCGAACTAACGGCCAGAGGTCAGAAAAACCTTGGATTTCTGTCAAACGGATGATTTAACTAGAGCAGTGGTCTCCAGCCCTGGTCCTCAAGATCTACTGTCCTACAGATTTTAGATGCATCCCTGCTTCAACACAGCTTAATTAAATGAATGGCTTGAAAAGGCAATCAATCATTTGATTCAGCTGTGTTGAAGCAGGGATGCATCTAAAATCTGTAGGACAATAGATCTTGAGGACCAGGGCTGGAGACCACTGAACTAGTGTGTAAATGGGAGACGTTCCTGGACCCATCCGTTAGGGAGGACACCATCACAAGGTTTCATTTAAGAGACTCAGATCAAGCCTCAGACAATAGGGGACAGATCATAAGGTGCTGGAGATTCCATGATGGGAGGATCAGCCCCTACATGGGATGTACCACCAAAACGTCACTGAAGGGGTGGATATCAGGAAATCCTACCAATGGCTAGACAAAGCCGGTCTAAAGGAGAGGCATTCAACATGGCTGCACAGGAGCAGGTCCTGAGCAGTGATAAACTTAAAAAATTAACTTTATTGTCATTACACAGGAGCAAGACAATGAAATGCAGTTATAGCAATAGCAACAAGTGCAGGATAAATAATGTTCCATAAGTAGAGGACATAATTTCTACTGCATAAATATAGAGATTAATAACAATATACACAGAATTTTACTGATAGATTTGTCCTATAAATATGATATATAGATAACCAGTGTTATGAACTAAATTTACAGCTGTATATATACCTAATATAATATACAGGTGGATATTACTATAAATAGGGTTTTTGCAGACATGTACAATAGTATAATATACACATGATTATTATTATAACAGAGTTTGCAGGTGAATATGATTAAACGCGTTCTGATGGCGCTTTAGCCAAAGGAGTTTTATCAAAAACATAATTAATTAACGATTCCCAGAGCAGAAGGAATAATTGAACGAAGCAGAATCGTCATATTCAATATTAGAGCACCTGACAAATCCTGTCGATGTTCTCCTCTGTGGGCATCAGGAAGTAGATGGCTGGAACATCTGGAATAGGATCTCTGTCTGAGTGAAGAAGCCTACACACACACACACACACACACACACACACACACACACACACACACACACACACACACACA